CAACAATTTGTGTCGAAATGTGTTTTTTTCTTTTCTTTTCCCAAGTTAATCTAGATCACAGGTGTCAAAGTCGAAACCCCACATAAATTTATGTGGCCCGTGAAAACAATTCACGCACAAAATTTTATTTCAATAATGTCGAGATTTTGTGATAATTTTGTTACCTGTTAGCACTCACTTAAACAATGATTGAACAAAATATGACTGGTTTCAGAATTGTTGTTATTAATAAATCATTTCATCATTGTATTGCTGATATTCACTCCATGTACATCACTTTGTATACAGCGATGGTTGATTTAAGTTGCTCTATAAACACAGTTGAGTTGAGTTGTACAATTAATAAAATATAACCATTTAATTCAATTTCACCGTCGTAACGGCCCACCAAAGGAAGGTGTAACTTGTAACTCCAAAGCGGCCCGTGACAAAAATGAGTTTGACACCCCTGGTCTAGATCTATTCGCAAAATGTAGGTTATTATCAATAAATACATCCCCTTTCACATGTGCTAAAGGAGAGCACAAATACCATATAAAAAAGGAGAAGATCAGCACAGAGTTCCATATGTTAGTGTGATCATATAACAGGAAATGACATGCCACCACTGATATTCTAGCATGTCGACAGAAACACACCCTAAATGAGTGCAAAGGTGTCTTGCAACTTCTTCCGCCGGTCGTTTGATGTTCCCAGTAACTAAAATACTGTGCCCATCGCGTCACCGGACTTCGCTCACCTTCCTCAGTGGATGTTTCTATCAAGATGACCTTTTTACAATGCCCGTCAATCGGTGTGGTCAGCAACACTTCAAAGAAGTACAATGTTTCTTTTTCATGTTTCGAATCAGAGCCAGGTCTGCTGGAACCACCATTTCATCCTGCTGTGAAAAAGCACAATCATCCTCCCCCAATCTCAAATTCTTTTCCTTTTTTTTTTTTTTTTTTTTTACTAAACCTTCTCACATATAGTCAGCCGAATTAGCTTCATTACCCAGTTCACAATTGTGTAGAAAATATCAGTAACTTATATGGTCTCCCTAACAATATTTCAAGCAAAGAAGGAGACACCATTCTCGTAATATTGACATATAAATCAATTCAATTTCTTCAATTGAATTTTAACCATATAATTTCATACTTGCTACCAATCCTGCAGATTGTGGATGGCAGGAGCAATAGTGTCTCAGATAAAATGTGAAACATGCATTCTATTTTATCAATTAACCTGTTCACGAAATGTGTGCAGATTGTGGACGGCAGGAGCAATAGTGTCTCAGATAAAATGTGAAACATGTATTCTATTTTATCAATTAACCTGTTCACGAAATGTGTTCCACTGCCGTAAATTTTCGACCCATTTTGGAAAAGCCTCAACCAAACTCAGGCAATTTGGCATCCCCTCATTAATTCAACGGAACCCATGTGCATTATCTGAAATGAAAATGTAGCTCAAAGAAACTGACCCCATTCTAGATACAAATTACCTTGTGTACCAAAACATTGGTTCAAACCATAGGTTGTATAATGTTTCCGAACCAGAGACACCATTCCCCCTGCCAACGCGTGAGATAATTCATGACGCAAGAAGAATTCTGGGCAAAATGGGTTCACTGTCAGTGCTGACATAAACCCCATCTTGCAATATAGCTCTGTTGTTTTTCGCCACATTCTTTGTTAACCGATTGGAATTTGAACTTAACCTAAAACGTTATCATGTTGCTAAGCGATTGGAATTCAGCAATCAGCCTGCCATGCATGTTTATTGCAATATTAATATCAAACAAATGAAAACACACAAAGAACGAGAGGTCGGACTTGACACGTTCGTTGTACTTCCTCCTACACCCTCTCAAATCACTATTACCTGTTTATATGCCAAACAAACAAACACCCATCAGGAAGCAGTAATAAAGCAGCAGGGTTAAGTACTGTGCATTTTTCCAGTGTTAATGGGATCGACATTACAACATAGCCATGCAAAATAAATGCCTAGCAGGCGACAAAAAACTTCATGTTAGTGTGCAGCAGCTCATCCATTTGTTTGTTTGTTTTTCCTAGCACTCCTTCAGCATGCAGAGTTCGCACCACACACATGCAAAGACTAATTAAGCACATTTTCGCAGACACATCTCGACAGACAAACCAAAATATTCACCTTACTACCACTCACAACCAGGTCAAGCATCTCCAAACTTTTAATTTTGTCATCCGCTAGAACACCTCACCTCATCCAAATATCGAAATACACCATCAATTTACCGTCAAACAAGCCGCTATCACTTTCCGTATTCCTTCAAAATGAAACTTCCTTCCATCACGAAGCCAACAACGAAAGTTGCTATCTCTTGCTGAGAAGCAGGAATGTCTTGTCATGCACTTAGAAATTTACTCTTGGGACAGTCACGGGAAATGTGGCCTTTCGCCCCACAACACCAACAAATAATCTCCCCTGGATCAGTCCCACGTCTATTTCTTGGCATTCCTCTGCCCCTATTTCGGCGCGGTTTGTTGACCGTGCGTGTGTATGTGAGAGTAAGTTCCACTCCCAAATCTCCCCTTCCCCTAGAGGCCATTGGATGGCCCCCTCGAAACGAGGGTGGAGGGGATGGTGGAAATGGAGATGTCGGAAGAGATGGATACAATGACGGTGTAACAGTATTTGTAGATGTCATCTCAAATGCATTCTCTCTCTCTACTTTCCGTTTTCCTCCTGTCTGTATACCTATCGATCCCAATTCATCATCCTCTCTCTTGTGAAACATAACGTTTCCTTCGCTCTTGTCATGGCTAAATTCCATCTCACTGACACGTTCCCTTCTTTCAACTTTCTCTATTCCCTTTTCCTCTTTCACTTTCTGCCTCTTTTCAGCCAAGAACATCCAGACCTCAACGTCTTCGAACCCATCCATAATTATTTTTTCTCTGTCATTTCCGCACATATTTCTAATATTATCCTGCAGGTGCAGTAATGTTTGTGTGTTCAGCCGGCCAGCGAAATTATATTTTTTATCCACAAATTTAGATGTTTTATCTTTGAAGGACATTGGCTCTCTAC